TTCTAGAGTATTCTGTTGTCTCTGCTGTACTCTGTTATTTCTACAGTATTCTGTGGTCTCTGCTGTACTCTGTTATTTATACAGTATTCTGTTGTCTCTGCTGTATTCTGTTATTTCTACAGTATTCTGTTGTCTCTGCTACACTCTGGTGTAGGGTAAACCCTTCATCTGAACATCGCTGTCACACCTTGACAACACAACATGTTGAGTTGTCTGACCTTCTCCAGCAGGTTGTTATGCAGCGTGGTGGAGGCATGGAACGATACTTTGTCGTAGGCGACGCATTTGATGACGCAGATGGCAAGCAGGATGAGGATCATCCCGCCAAACATCTCCTGGTAGTAGTGGAGCTCTGGGTTCAGAGTCACATCTCCTTGCTGTGATGACGTCACATTGGAGCCCTGAGGAACAACACGACAACAACAAGAACAACCTTAGTCCAGCTGTGATCAACATCTGCTGCTGCTGCTGAACAGTGTTTATATGCGTTCACAACTTCAGTCAGTCCTCACATTAAAAACTAACAGTTATTTTTTCTGTCAGTGAATCAGCTGATAGTTTGGTTTATAAATGATCAGATGTCTCAAAGTGAGACTTCCTGTCTTTGATCGTCTGTCACATTAAAGATCTCCTCTGCAGGTTCTCATACAGCTGTGACTCCTCTCAGTCATCATTGTGGCCCCACCCACAGGCGATGGAGGTGTGTCTATCTGCAGAGACCCCGCCCCTTGACTGGAGTTCATTATATTTACTGTGTTCAGCATGTTCCTGGTCACAGCACGCTGGTGAGGGTGGGGCATTATAAGAAGGTAGTGATCCGACCGTGAGCAGCACACATCCAACAGGATGCTACAAAAAACAGGAACGTGGTGCCAAAAAAACACCAAAGAAGAGAGGAGGAACATCGAGCAGATAAAACCAGAGGATCAGAGGTGTACTTTCACTGAAGGAGAGGATGAAGATGTTTCCTGTCCGACAGGAAGCTGCTGGTGACAGTGGGGTAAATTAGTTATGATGGTCCCTAGTGCTCACACACACACACACACACACAGAGCTGGTAACTGTTTATAAAAAATCTAAATGAATCTAATTCAGGAGCTTTGCTGCGTCCACGTGGATGTTTGTGCCAAAGAAATCTCCTCCAGGTGTTTTTGAAACATTGTGTTCACACAGATGTGACAGACGACCTGAAAACATAACTCAGCTCCACGTCTCTCTACCTGATGACATCACAGGTGTGACACTTCCTCCTCTGGTTCCTGTCTCTGACAGACAGGAACTGATGTCCCCTGACAATAACTGAACTTCCTGTAAAGCATGATCGGAAGTGTAGTGCAGTGTGTCTCACCCCGTGTCCCTGATGTAACCAGTAACTGAGCCACCAGTAACTCAGAGCTGCATTTGTCATCAGCACGATGAAGAGGAGGAGGATGAGGAGGCACACACAGTATCCTGCAGGAAGAATCCACACACAGGCTTTTATTTTGAAGGGCCACTCTGTGTGTGTGTGTGTGTGTGTGTGTGTGTGTGTGTGTGTGTGTGTGTGTGTGTCCTGACCTCCAGCAGCCTTACAGTACTGATGAAACGTTCTCCAGGAGATCAGTCCGTCTCTGCTGTTCTCCTGATTGATCAGCTGATCGGCAGCTTCATACAACAAACAGCTGGTTATTGATCATGTTATTGATCCATTATTGATGACTGATTGTGTGTAAACATGACAGCTGTGTGGAATGAAGCTGGCCTCAGCAGGTTTAGAAACTCACGTTTGCTGTCAGCTGACGGAGCATCCAGGTTCTCGTCCGACGCATCAAAGGCTGAAAGGTAAAAAACAGGAAGTCACAGTCACACACTGCTTCCTGTTTATTGATTATCAGGACCTGAGTCCACACAGAGTCTTTACTTTTAATTGTTCCCAGTGAGGACAGAGTGTATCAGGCTGCATACAGACGCCTGGAGCGCCACTCTCAACATCTGTTCTCAGAGCGCTCCGCCATTTGTCTGCGGCTGCTCTAAACGCTTTAAGCTTAAGGTCTCTGAACGTTTCAGGAAGGCGCCGGTGATGTCACTGCTGCTTCTTCAGCTCAGCTGCCATCACAGCAGAGAAAGAACAGCTCATGTGTCAGGAGTAGATCGGCCGGAGGACTCTGATTGTTGGGCTTTAATCACAGTAAGCTCAGAACTGTGTCAGCACTCATCACATTAGCTGCCTAGTGAACGTCTAGTGGTGGAGAAAAAAATCCATACAGCAAAGTATCATGATAATTTAGTGTGGCAGCATCGTATCATCACACAATGCCAAGTATTGATTTTTTTATTATTTAAGTTATCAATATGACAAATTCAAATTAAACCTCAGGTAGCGTAATAGAATAATATAATCAATTACTTTTTCAGTCCAACAGATGAACATTTAGTTGCTAATAAAAACAGACTGAAAACTTTATCTGATTACATAAAAACGAATGTTGAAAAAAGGTAATAAATATTAATAATATATTTGATTATATTTTCATGTTTATTGAGCAACAGTTTTGTGTGACAGGAATTAAAGGCCTGTCTCAATTAAAGGCCTGTCTCAAATAAAGGCCTGTTTCAATTAAAGGCCTGTCTCAATTAAAGGCCTGCTGAGTTCACTCATTTAATCAAATAATAACCTGGGCTATAAATTGAAGCTTTATGGGATTAAAAATCACAGCGATATTATATCATGACAATATCATGTTGAATCCCAGCCTACCTAACGTCAATAACTGGCTTTCCATCCAAATGTATCGCAAATTTTAAGCGAATTTTGTGAAAATGCGCAAAAGAAAACGCAAATTTATGCACGTTTCCATTCATTATTGTTTTGTGAGTATTGGGAGTCAACAGGTCGAGCAGAAGGTGGCGCTTCTCATGAAAAATAAAAATGCAAAA